TGGTCTAAAGCTAAAACTAAAGTAAACTAAAGTATAAAGTAACTCTAGACTAAAGTAATTCTAAGTAGCAGCGTTACAATTCTATTCTTTTTTCGTCATTTTCCTTCCCTTTCCTCCTGCCCTCAGAAGATGGTTTGAGTGGTAAGTTCGAGTGGTAAAGCTTTGGCATCAGGCATCTGATGTCCAAAGTGTCTACAGTTCCTCATAATTAGAGTTCCGTTTTCTAGTAACCTGAATGCACCTGCGCGATTTCTAGCATACGTACGATTCTGGCAACAAAGCACTACCCGGGAAATTCATGAAATAATAATTATGAGCAATTTTTGAGTTCAAATTTCAAACTGCCTGTCTCAGTATGAAAATTTTAGTTCAGAACGAAAGTTATTTTTGCTGTTGGTAAGTCGAATAACAGTGACACCAATTATTTTTTGGAAAAAGAAGCCGAACAATATGGAGATTTGTTACAACAAGATTTCATGGATACCTACGAAAACCTTACCCTAAAGGTAAAAATCTGCTCTTCAGGATTAAAATAATTTCATTGACAAAAAACAATTTTTAATTGATTTTTCCTCATCCTTACTGCAACGGTATTCCTTCACCAGCTACTTGAAAAAGTGGTGGGCGCACGAGACGCAAATAATTCAACCTCTCGGACCTCCTTTCCTCCTTCCTCCTGTAACTCCTAATGTTCTGCCACAACGTATCTTCGTTCCTTGGCAACTTATGTATCTGTATGCCTCCTTACCTTTTCCATTCGGCTAAAGGTAAAAAAGCGGATTTTTTTCCGGATGAGATAATCTTGACGATGATTAATGTATTACTTTCAAGCTACGGCGATCGTGCTAGGCGCTCCTTCGAAGATTTTTACTTTGAGAAGAAACTTTCCACTGATATTATCAGTGGTAAATTACCATTTTTTGAAATAAACTTACATAGAGCAAAAAAATACTTGGCATGGGCTGTGGGTAGAGAATACGTTATCTTTCCAGCGAAATCGAACTACGGCATTCTACAATTGTAGGCAGTGATGTGGATTCGTTTTGTGCACGAATTCTGTCCTAAAGTACCGTATATTCTGAAAATGGATGATGATGTAATGATCAATTATTTCGGCCTAGTGCAAATACTACAAAATCGAAGCCATCCAAATTCGAAGATACCTTTCAGGAGCAAAACGATGGCTTGTATCGTACGTAAAAACTATCCTGCTGTACGGGAGAATACAAAATGGTCCGTTTGCTCTTTTAGTAGTTTGTAAAAAAGCGCAGTCAGTGACTGGCCAACGTACGCAAAAGCAATAGAAAAAGTGGAAGAAAAGTAATAGCTAAATATTTTCCAGAGAAATAAAATTTTATGATTTTTTCAGGAAAGTTCCAAAAGAAGAGTACTCGGACGATTTTTACCCACCGTTCTGTAATGGCTGGTATTATCTGTGGACAGGCGATTTGATTAAGTTGGTTCTTCGGACGCTACCCTACTGCACCTATTATAGAGTAAGATTTCTATGTTTTTGATAAAAATTTTAATGCTAATACGCACTTTCCGACATTTAGCCTGTTATGAAGCAGTGCATCGAGTTGCTGCCGTCGAAAATCTTGACGAAATATTAATTTCTTTGAATAATTAAGTATCATAAGCACTCGGGAAATTCGTGAACATCTTAACTTTTTTAGTAAAACAAAGGGAAGCATTTGCCAGCAGTCATTCACGGCTAATACAGATGTCGATAGGTCGTTTTCAAAGATGAGGCTATGAATAACCTTTAAATGGCCCCACTGAGACGGTTACAGTACCAACTCATCAGCTCACTGCTAAAGACAATTACGATAAACAAGATTAATTGCGTTTGCTGCATAGGATGATAAAATTTAAGTCGAAAACTTCTTCAAAGGTTGTGTTCCGCGAAAGATTGGAGTATTAGCCTGAGTGGAAACATGGGCGGATCCAGGGCGGGGTGGCAGGGGCCGTAACAGCACTGGTACTTGTGCCCTTCTCCCAGCGACACAAGCACTAACGCTGCAACAGCTCGGGTCTGTTCATAAATAAAACTAAAGTAATTCTAAGTAGCAGTGTTACAACTCTGTTCCTAGTTTTTGCACAGTACCAAGATGGGAGGGGCTCCTTCTCCACCACCCGTCGCCTGCTCCCCTCTCCCTCCTCCAGTAGTTCGTCCTGGATCCGCCTATGAATGGAAGCATACTCTTATGGCAACGAATGGCTAATAAAGTTGTCGATGGCGCCCTCTTGCGAGAGCTGCTTAAAAGTGAATTGAAGGTGGATTTTACTTCTTGGCATATGTTAGTACTAATTACTGACAAATCAGACAAGCAAACAATGAACCACTGGCGAAGTCGAACCTTAAACCTCTCGCACGAAAACAGTGACACTTTATATTACCCCGCACCTGACAGATATTTCAACGCATGCACATGAAGGTACCTATGCGCTTTTATATTTCATAAAATTTTGCAAGTCAGATGGACGATGTGCACATAACGGGACATATGGCCAAACGAGTTCAGGCGCATTTCGAAAACTGGGAACCCATAAGTATTACTCATCCCACTGAAACCGGCATTATACAGGACCATTCGCTATTCATGCTCGTTAAGTCGGTTGATCGAAGGAAACTTATTTGGAAAGAGCTGTTACGACAGTATTCGACTATAAACCAAACGCCGGAAAATGAATCTCACAAAGAACTCATGTAAAAATTCAGTTTTACTGTTAGTTGCAATGGAAAATAGAGGAGAACCTAGTAAAAAAAATAAATAAAATAATAAAAAAGATAAAATGTTGCAAAAAAATTCTCTTAATGGTTAAAAAATGTTTCGGTTCATTAAGTCGTATGCATTTCTTACCATTACCACAATTGGACCTTGTCAGTACGACGACTGTGGTAATTGGTACGAATCTGATTAAAATGTTACAACAAAAGATAAAAAGCAAAATTTAAAAACTAGTGAAATAAAAGCAAAACGAAGGGATAAGTTTCACTTAACGCAAATTATGTGCATACCTAACCTTAATGACGAATGCAAAATCTTTTTTGAGGTTGCTCAAGATGTTTGCAATGAGGCTGACTTATTCGCTTACTCCTTACTCATACCCGCCACTTCTTTCCAACCATTTTTGTTTCTTTTTCCAAGTGAAAGCATTAATCTAAGAAAAATATGGCTTTCCTATGCCTCATAACATTATCACAAAAAAAACCAATGTTTAGTTTTTAGGAAAAAATTACTCATCTCCTGGAAAAGAATTTTAGAAGAAAAACCATGTTTTTTAAAGGATTCGAAAGCTAAACAGATAATGGAGATGCGGCAGTTGAAGTGGGTATGAGAATCACTGGAGGCACCTCTTGGAATGCGAAGCTTCGATAAAACACTTGTTTTGTAAAGTATGAATGTTTAGAATTCGATATGAACAGTCCGGACAATGTTTATGGATATGAGCAGGCGATATAAAACATCACCTTGTATTTTTATCAGCTCTGTAGATCTGTTCTTTTTTAAACAAACTTTGCGTTTCTATAGCTTTGCTTACAGTAGTCAGGTGCATTCAGCAGTAAATTTTAAATAAAATAAAATGTGTCAGTTTTTTTTAATGCGCTTTTGTTCTCTGTTTATGTGCATCCCCAAGATTTCAAATCCAGCCATCACGCGTATCGACCCCTCAAAGTCTGCTCCTGGTGCCAAACAAACTGGGAAAGCAGCTCGAAAAAGTTTGCAGTAATTTTACGAGAATATTTGCTGATTTTGTGGAAAGCGTAAACTTAAAATGAGTTATGGATGTAAGCGTGTTTCGCTTATAGGGGCATCCAAACGACAATTAGCGAAAAAACGATTTCGGAAACGGGATAAGCTAGATTTCGTTGAAAAGCTCACACTGGAACTTTGTTTTCAAATATTTGAGCTTGAAACTAAACACGATCCTGCTCATTTAAATGCCAGGAATATTAAAAGCGCCCGGGCAATCAGCGGTTATCTCTTCTGATCTAAGGCACGACAATACTGCTCCCTAGCAGCGGCACGCCCGTCGGTTTGATCAAAATGTTAAAGTGATAAAGGAAATGCCATAAAAACAATAGCGGCGCTTGAAAAAAAAAAACTGTCTAATAAAAATGTTTACTTAATGATGCACAATCAGCGTTATTTCTGCCTGGTATATGACGTTATTTCTGTTTAGTACTGATAACATTGATAACATTACTTTGTTTGATAACATTGTAATCCCACTGGGTGGATCGTTTCAAAGACTTTGCTTTCTCGGTTTTGACATCATTTCAGCTTGCCAGTTTTCCACGGAATTTTGCCAGCTTTTTTTGTTTTGCCGTTTTTTTTTTCATTCCTGTTTATGCTGCATTTTTTTGAAAAAATGTACTTGTCGAATATTTTGTATATTTATGTCTGCTTGCCTCAGATTAAAAAAATGCGATAATCGAGAAATACTGGGATTATAATCTCTACCACGTGGAGCCAGTTGGTAATAATCAAACGTGTAAAATCCAGGATTAAATACCAAGTACAGCTGTGCCTGATGTATGGGAGCATACCAGCAATACTGGTGATATGGGACACTCACACGATGTTTGGATGGCAGTGGTTTCTCTAGTGTTGCAGAACTAGAAATATGTTAGAATTTAAAGTTACTGTGCATTCCGAATAAGTGTGTTAAGTTCGAAATCGGAGTGTCACCCAAAAAAAAAAATCAAATTACACAGTACTGGAAGATAAATGAGACCCAACATAACTTAAGATTCGTGCTTGAGAAAAACAGCTCGGATCGATTTTAGATTTACGTTATAATGTAATTTTTGGGTTAAAATACATATTTCCTTGATTGGACTTAATTATTTTTCTCCAACTAGAATTTTTAACTCGATTTTTTCACGCATCCTAGTGTTAACTTTATTAAAGCACCTTAAATATGATAGTTGACATGCTTTAACAAAAATTAACTCTGAAAGAATATGATTAGCAAGAATCGTCAGTTCACGACTAACAAAATTTTGTCGCATCAGCAGTAACTGTGTATGTGCAGGACCAAAAATATCAAGCTTATCCGGGCTATCAGAGTGAGATGTCACTGCTCCTCACAGCTATGCCAGACCCTTCGATTCTGGGTTACTCCATACCTCCAGCGTTCATATTCATTTTCTCAAAAAACAAAGCAAAGCAACTGTATTTTTTTCGTAAGCTTGCCGTGCAAAAAGCAAATGCTAAGTGTCTTTGAGCTATTCGCTAAAAAAATGATTCACCAGTATTTTCCTAAAGAACTGTCTGTATCTCTGAGAATTTACAGCTGCATCATCAGTCTTCTAAAATAAAAGCAGACATGTGCTAGAAGAATAAATCATAATTTTTTGTTCTTAGGTGGCGCAAATGATTCAGCTCTTTTCTTCTTAACTATTATAATATCATGTATAATACCTCGAAATGCTAAAGTGCGTTTGTCGAGCAAAATTGTTAAGTTGATGATCACTTCAAAAGACGAAGTGAAAAATCAGGATCGCCAGGCGGCTGATCATCGTCCGATACAGCATTGGCCAAAAGAACTGGAAAAGCTGTGATAGCTATACATTTGAAGAACCACAGCACGCAGTACAGCTAATCAAACTGATCAACAATTATACGCAGAAGTTTCACTATTTCAGCGGATGCTATTGAAACGTTTCCCAATAGTGAACTTTCTGAGATCACACTGTGAGAAATTTCGCTTAGCCGCAGTTCGGCGTTTCACTCTTTATTTGCTTTTTCTAATTTCGCTTTGCTATACTGTCGTACTGCACCGAAAACTGGCGTATTGCACAAGCAAGAAAGCAAGTTTTCCGGTAAGTTTCTTAAAAAAAAATTTTTTTTTTTGATAAATGTCAGATTATCAATGCAACAGTAGTGAAAAGGTAAAGGGCAGCCTGTCCTAAGCCAAGGAATTACCCGCGTAACGCCATAAAGTGATGAACGTGACGACTAAATCCCAAAAAGGTATATTGAAAATGATTTTATGGTAATTGATCCTGCCACGAATGTCCCGCCAAAAGCCGGTAAGACTTGAAAAGTGCGCATTGCTTGTGGAGAACTGGCGCAGAGGCGAAAAATGGCAGTGCGGCGCGAGGAAAGAGGAGGGAAGTAGGGGGGAGGGGAACATCAGACGCTGTACAGAACGAATGCAAATGCAGACTATGGCGTCGCAGTTAGTATGTGATGTGAAGCACAAGGACCGGTGGTGTAGTGGGTTGCACGTCGCGTCTGGATTTGAAGAGGTGTAGTTCGATTCCCTCTCCGTCCGGAATCATTTGCAAAAAAGGGCTTTTCCGCGACAGATCGAGTGACAGTTGTTGTGCTTGTGCGATTTACAATATCCTGGAGTAAGCCGCCCCTATAAATGCCTGCGAGAAATAAAGGAATATGGGATTTGACCGAAGTGACAATGCTTTGTCGCCAAAAACAACCACGGCTAGTAAGGTGATGGTTTTTTCCGGTTGCTGCTTGAGGAAAAAGTTGAATGCAGTTCGATTAGCCGGCAAGTCGCATTGCCAGTTTACCGCTGGAAGAAGAAATGAACACATGTAATTAAACAACAATTTAGGCCGGCAGCAATATGGTTCCATTTCAATGCACGAATGACACGAAGCAGGTCAGTCATTATTTTAGTAATCTCAGAAATCTTGAAGTTTCAACTTACTTAGGAGTCAATTTGTTCCCAAAGAACAGCCTTACCTAACAAATCGGAGATAAGTCATACAGTTTAAAGACTTTTAAGAATTACAAGAACTGAGCTGATAAATCAAATTAATTCAAGTCTATATCAAGGTGCTCAAAAAGTAGCTCAGATTATAGGCTTTTGTTGGGCTGGGTAATACCAAAAAAAAAACTTTCGTTCAGTACAAATCCTACACAGAAACAATAAAACAAAATAATTTTGAGGTAATCGAATTTGACAGATTCTGTCACGTAGGTCCCACCAAAAAGTTTTCCGGTAAGACTTGATGAATGCGCATTGTCAACTCTCTACCACGTACTAGTACCAGTTTACCATCAAAACAAGTGAACGGCCGTAGAGG